GAAACTCTAAACTCGAGATGCTGAAAATATTGTCACTCAGCTAAGTGACAAATTCGTAATATAAATATAAAATTTGTCAACATTTGCGGTTTCTCTTTTTTTTAAAATAAACATTTTCTCTCGTTGGAACAATTAAATTTTTTTTTCCTATATATATATATATATATATATATATATATATATATATATATATATATATAGGGAACAATATATACATTTTTTATATATTAAGAAGTCCGATAAAGTCCTAAAAGACGAAACGCGTTACATGAAAGCTTTTTCCACTTTGTCATAGATTTTCCTTAATATATATATACAGGGTGCAATGGATAATAGATTGTCTAAATTACGCAAAAATGAAAATAGCACTGATATCTCATTTTAACAGATATATTTACCAAAGTTACACAAAAATGTCTTGAAATACTAAAGAATAAATTTATTCAATAAAATCTTCTTTGGATTCAACCACGGCCTCCAGATGACTTTGGAATCTCTTGCAACTCTTCTTGATGGTCTCCTTGTTTAAGTTGCTGAATGCTGCCATAATCCTTGCCTTCAGTTTATTTTTGGTGTTACAAAGAATTTTGTTGCTCTCTCGCTCAACTGTGCCCCATACATAATAATCAAGGGAGTTGCAGTCTGGGGAGTTAGATGGTGATGTGGTCGCAGAAATTGTCTGACACCCATGACTGGGTTCTCTTGTTTGTGTGACATGGTGCAGAGTCCTGTTTCCAGCAGCCAAGAGCAGCACTACCTCCTCAAGGCATTTGATGTAGGTCTCCGTTGTGTCTGAGGCCCTGTGGGAAGATGAATGGAGGCATAACGTCGCCATCAGTAGTGACCACTCCAAACACCTTCGTAATCACCATTAGACTCATCCAACTTTTTCCGAATCCTCTGCACTGTCCTCAGTTTGACACCCAAACATTCTGAAATGTTCCTATTAGAACTTCCGGTATGAATACCAAGCAGTACAGCATGCTGTTTCCAAATCTTTGGCGGACTGAATTGCGTCATGATGCGCTTTTTCTTACAGACGGTGTCCAGCTGACCCTATTATATTGTGCAGTCGGCAAAATAAAAAACAAACAAAAAAGTATAAAATGGCGACAATTTACCTATCGTGCTCTGTATATATTATAATAACGAAGAGTATTTTTTTAAAAATGGAAACTTTTAACTGTTTTAATGCCATGTCCCTTCATAATGTAGACATGGCTCTTGACAGATTCCTTTTCTTTATTATCTGGACATTGCTATGACTTCTTGAGAAAGACAGTAGAGTGGTTTCCCATTGCATTCTTCATGGTTTTTGATTCAGAGTAGTCCTTCTTGAATGGATGCTACCCAAGTCTAGAGAGTTCAGTTTACCTTACCATTTAACACATGGATGAGGCGAAGGCATAGCAAGAAAAGATGGATTCATGATTTTTCCAAAGGCATCTTCCTGAAAGTGAACGCAAATTACAAATTTGGCTCACTAATTTCTGCTTTCGACGCCGATAACAGCTGCGCTACCTGCATATCCTTTTAAACTAATTTCATCACTGGAAAGCAAATAACAACATTTTCCCAACAGTATTCTCACTGACAATGTAGTGCTTACCTTTTTTTTTATTCTCTTGCAGGTCTTTCTGGATTTCACTGAATAACTTTCATGCGTCTGGTAATGATATTTATTCTACGAAAGCGTTAATTTTCATCTCATACATACATTCACTGTGTCGAAACAGCAGTTTTGAAATTTAAATTTATATTATAAGAATGAAATGTTATGCCCATACGACTAAGATTCATTCATATTACGTTTTAGTACGAAACTAGTAGATAGGTTCGCCTATCGCTCAGTTCACCCCTGCCCACGTTATTTTAAAAGGCGTAGAAATTTATCCCTTTCATATTTAGGATTGGCTTTCCGGTTCCTTCTAAGGTATTCTTCAACTGTAGTTCTGACGTCTACGCCTGAACTCTGAAATTTTATACACTAATTACTTTTTTCGTCTGTCAGTAGCAGTAGATAGGTCCGCCTATCGTCCAGTTTACACCCCTCCTCGTTTTTTTTTTTTTAAGGAGTAGAGATTTATCCATTGTTTCTAGTTTAGGATTGGGTTTCCGGTTCCTTCAGAAACTGTATTTCCACACTATACTCCTAACGTCTCCGACTGAAGTCTGAACTGTTATTCACTAATTAAATCTTGACCTCTTCAAGTCTAGAGTTAACCATTATCTTTTGCATATAAACCCAAGAACTTCACATCTTACCCTTTTTTACGCTCACACGACACAACACAGTAACCCTCTATATTGTGTGGCACTTAGGCCTTGTATTGAGTGAACATTAAATTTACACAAAATTTAGCTACGGATATTTTTTCTTCACATTTCCATACGTACAACATTATATATATATATATATATATATATAGGGAAGGTTACTGATATAGAAGAATCACACGAAGGTTGGTAATGAACGATAATACTTAGGACCAGAACAACACATATAAGATTCGCCAGCGGCGCGTAGAAAAAGTAGTCAACTGCTAGAAATGAATCAAGTGAATTCCACAGTGAATCTCGAACTCTAGACCGCAGACCAACACATACAGTATTCACTACTGTATTTATGGGAATGAGGGCATGCCTATTATCATCTGTAGCTATGCTACAACCCCCCATATATATATATATATATATATATATATATATATATATATATATATATATATATATATATATATATATATATATATATATATATATATATATATATATATACCGGGTGTAACAGAAAAATTGTCCAAATCGTGTAAAAAAAAATTGTCCATTAGATTAAGATTAGAACCGTTGTATCTTAAAAATGATTAAAAGTTTCTTACTAGAATTCTCCGAGGTATTTATAACACTATTGGACTCGAGCAATACGAATGTATAATTACTCTCCAAGATTAACAGAAGAATCGTGATGAAATCGATCACAAACGAAAATGATATATTCATCATTAGCTAATCATATCTAAGGATCAGAAGTTCATGAAAGATTGAAATTAACTTCAAATATATATATATATATATATATATATATATATATATATATATATATATATATATATATATATTCCAGGATCATTTTCCAACGTACTCAAGATGATCTTCGCCCCTCTAACCTTCTGTCCTGGAGTAACAAGGTGCCTCACATTTTTCACGTACGATTTCATTTTCAAGTTTTTTTCGCTATTCCTTGGACTGCCATAGCTGAAACTTCTCTCTCACGTGCCAAACGTTTTATGAATTGAGTTGGATCTTTTCTAATTGATCTCTTTCGCTCTCAGTTGAAATAATCATCCCTCCTCCTGATGTGACCACCTGATGTAGTTTTTTTTTCTCTACTCTTTTTAAAACTTTTCATCATTCTCACAATGGTTCTTGAACGGACGTTGAAGATGGAAACCAGAGTAGGAATCTTGATACCATTACTGAAGACCTGAATGATATTTTTCTCTTTCTATCTGAATAACTCAAAGGGTTTTTTAGTGATTCTTACGACAAATAGTGTTAAGATGGCTAAACGTCTTATCTGAAAACCTGGAAAAAAGAGACTCAATTAGTTTAGTGTTTTTTCTAGATATTAAACATTTTGTGGGATGGACAATTATGTTGTTACACGATTTGGGCAATTTTTCTGTTACACCCGGTATATATATATATATATATATATATATATATATATATGAGGCCTGATCAAAAAAGCATCGTGACTGTTGCTATGGTAACGGAGGTAGTGTATGTAAAGTGAAGCCGCTTGGCATAAATCGACCTTGAACCGTGTCGCGCATACAAACTAAGTTATAACATTCTCGCTCACTTCCGTTGTTTATACCAGTGCTTGGAGGGAAAGTGTGCAGAGTGTGGTCGCTTTACCACACCACAGATCTGCCATCAGTGGCCATGGCTTGTCCAGCAGTTTTTGGCCAAGGGCAACATTCTTTAGCTCCGACAACAACCATATTCCTCAAATCTTGCCTTTTGCGACTTTCTCTTTCCAAAAATTAACCCTCCCCTTGAAAGGAACAAGATTTCAAGACGTTGAGGAAATCTAAGAGAATGCGACGAGGTAGCTGCTCTCTATCCCCAAAATAGAGTTCCAGGAATGTATCCATCAATGGAAACGATGCTGGAAAAAGTGTGTGGCTTCAGAAGGGGACTATTCAAAGGAGATTAAACCACGATTTGATACGTGTTGTAATTTTCTTTTTTATAGCACCAGCTCAGATACTTTTTGATCAGACCTCGTGTGTATATATATATATATATATATATATATATATATATATATATATATATATATATATGTATGGAAAGAAAGAGAGAGAGAGCAATTAATATATTTCTTAATTCGGCATTATTTCTTATTACTATAAACTTTATATTTAGTGGTTTTTACATGATTGAGTACACATCTGTGGGCAATCGAAATATCTACTAGCTTTGCCAATCGAAAGTCTTATTTAAAATTAAATCGAACCTGATTTCCCTTTTTTCTGAGAAACCACCATTTAACTCAGCGTGCCACAAACCGGTAGTGGATGGCAATTTCCCTGTTTACACCTCGCCAAATAAAACAGGGCCGTCTACTTAAAGACGTGTATCCACTCAAATAACGTTTATATATATATATATATATATATATATATATATATATATATATATGATATCGCCTAATTTCAAGTTTATTCTGACTTCTACACATTTTCACTACGGGACACATTCACTATGAATTAAAAACTTGATTACTGAATTAATAAATTTTGTTTAATAATTACGGATTTCTGTCATCTTTTAAAGTATACTTAAATATTTATAAATATTTTTTAATAAAATACGATGTAAAGAAACTTGTGACGTTATTCTTTGACTGAAATGTTCATTTTTACCCACGGGTATTGTTATAAGCTAATTCTTGAAATATTTGGCAAGATTTATCTGTGGAGGTAATTTCGTCAGAACTGCGAGGGTGCGGTTTTTTGTGCAGTGTGCAATTCCGACAACACAAATAATGACATCAAAAAGAAAAGAAGAAAAGAGAAAAAAAGGAGCAAGAAGAGGAAGAGAACGAAGAGGAAGTCAAGGAGCATTAACGGCTGCAAAAACTTGCACAAATGAGTTGTATTTTAAATTTCGACTTCCCGTCATGCCTTTGATGATATAGTATTTATTTTCCTCTTCCTTCTCTCTCTTTTCTCAAGGACATCTTTCTCATTATCCATTTTTCTTCCTGATATTCTCTAGATGCTATTTGTTTTGTCAAACCAAATAATTATGACATATTGGAAAAACTAACCAGGCCATTGTCACTGCTCCAAGAAAGTTTCCGATTTCTTTTCTGTTTAGCCTTTTTGATGTTTGCCTCGTGACGCTTGAATTTATTTTATTAGCAACAACTAACCACAGTAGGCGGTAGAATAGGTTGTTGACGTCTTTATTGATTTTTTTTACCATCCATCAGATTGATTTTTGTCATCCGTGTCACAGCGAAAAAACAAAAACAGAATGATGTATGTGCGCATTTTTCCTTCATCTCTACTTAGAATTCAAGAATACTAACAGATTGATGGAAACCTGACAAGTTCACCAGTGTTAAACGTATCAATGCTATTAGATTTGGAGAGAGAGAGAAAAGGCAGGTTTCTTTTCCTTTTCTTTCTACGGTTAAAACAAATCGAGTTTGCTTTAATGCAAGACAAAACACTTGAATCTATTGAGTTTTCACCAGTTAAACGGATCAATGCTATTAGATTTGGAGAGAGAGAGAGAGAGAGAGAGAGAGAGAAAAAAGGCAGGTTAAAACAAATCGAGTTTGCTTTTAACGCAAGACAAAACACTTTCTATTGAGTTTTCACCAGTTAAACGTATCAATGCTTTAATTTGGAGAGAGAGAGAGAAAAGGCAGGTTTTTTTTCCTTTTCTTTCTACGGTTAAAACAAATCGAGTTTGCTTTAACGCAAGACAAAACACTTGAATCTATTGAGTTTTCACCAGTTAAACGGATCAATGCTATTAAATTTGGAGAGAGAGAGAGAAAAAAAGGCAGGTTTCTTTTCCTTTTCTTTCTACGGTTAAAACAAATCGAGTTTGCTTTAACGCAAGACAAAACACTTGAATCTATTGAGTTTTCACCAGTTAAACGGATCAATGCTATTAAATTTGGAGAGAGAGAAGGTTCTTTTCCTTTTCTTTCTACAGTTAAAACAAATCGAGTTTGCTTTAATGCAAGACAAAACACTTGAATCTATTGAGTTTTCACCAGTTAAACGTATCAATGCTATTTGATTTGGAGAAAAGAGAAGGTTTCTTTTCCTTTTCTTTCTACGGTTAAAACAAATCGAGTTTGCTTTAATGCAAGACAAAACACTTGAATCTATTGAGTTTTCACCAGTTAAACGGATCAATGCTATTAGACAAAACAAATCTTTGAATCAAAACATTGAGTTTTCACCAGTTAAACGGATCAATGCTATTAGATTTGGAGAGAGAGAGAGAGAGAAAAGGCAGGTTTCTTTTCCTTTTCTTTCTACGGTTAAAACAAATCGAGTTTGCTTTAACGCAAGACAAAACACTTGAATCTATTGAGTTTTCACCAGTTAAACGGATCAATGCTATTAGATTTGGAGAGAGAGAGAGAGAGAAAAGGCAGGTTTCTTTTCCTTTTCTTTCTACGGTTAAAACAAATCGAGTTTGCTTTAATGCAAGACAAAAACACTTGAATCTATTGAGTTTCACCAGTTAAACGGATCAATGCTATTAGATTTGGAGAGAGAGAGAGAGAAAAAGGTTTCTTTTTTCCTTTTCTTTCTACGGTTAAAACAAATCGAGTTTGCTTTAACGCAAGACAAAACACTTGAATCTATTGAGTTTTCACCAGTTAAACGGATCAATGCTATTAGATTTGGAGAGAGAGAGAGAGAAAGAGAAAAGCAGGTTTCTTTTCCTTTTCTTTCTACGGTTAAAACAAATCGAGTTTGCTTTAACGCAAGACAAAACACTTGAATCTATTGAGTTTTCACCAGTTAAACGTATCAATGCTATTAGATTTGGAGAGAGAGAGAGAGAAAAGGCAGGTTTCTTTTCCTTTTCTTTCTACGGTTAAAACAAATCGAGTTTGCTTTAAAAGACAAACTTGAATCTATTGAGTTTTCACCAGTTAAACGGATCAATGCTAAGATTTGGAAAGAGAGAGAGAAATTTCTTTTCCTTTTTTCACCAGTTAAACAAATCGAGTTTGCAATGCTTGAATCTATTGAGTTTTCACCAGTTAAACGGATCAATGCTATTAGATTTGGAGAGAGAGAGAGAGAGAGAAAAAAGGCAGGTTTTTTTCCTTTTCTTTCTACGGTTAAAACAAATCGAGTTTGCTTTAATGCAAGACAAAACACTTGAATCTATTGAGTTTTCACCAGTTAAACGTATCAATGCTATTTGATTTGGAGAGAGAGAGAGAGAGAAAAGGCAGGTTTCTTTTCCTTTTCTTTCTACGGTTAAAACAAATCGAGTTTGCTTTAATGCAAGACAAAACACTTGAATCTATTGAGTTTTCACCAGTTAAACGTATCAATGCTATTAGATTTGGAGAGAGAGAGAGAAAAGGCAGGTTTCTTTTCCTTTTCTTTCTACGGTTAAAACAAATCGAGTTTGCTTTAACGCAAGACAAAACACTTGAATCTATTGAGTTTTCACCAGTTAAACGGATCAATGCTATTAGATTTGGAGAGAGAGAGAGAGAGAGAGAGAGAAAAGGCAGGTTTCTTTTCCTTTTCTTTCTACGGTTAAAACAAATCGAGTTTGCTTTAATGCAAGACAAAACACTTGAATCTATTGAGTTTTCACCAGTTTCGTATCAATGCTATTAATTTGGAGAGAAAAGAAAAAGAGTTAAAACAAATCGAGTTTGCTTTAATATAAGACAAAACACTTGAATCTATTGAGTTTTTCACCAGTTAAACGGATCAATGCTATTAGATTTGGAGAGAGAGAGAGAGAGAAAAGGCAGGTTTCTTTTCCTTTTCTTTCTACGGTTAAAACAAATCGAGTTTGCTTTAACGCAAGACAAAACACTTGAATCTATTGAGTTTTCACCAGTTAAACGGATCAATGCTATTTGATTTGGAGAGAGAGAGAGAGAAAACAAATCGAGTTTGCTTTAAGAAGACAAAAGGCTTGAATCTTTGAGTTTTCCTTTAAACTTTGCTACGGTTTGGAAAACAAATCGAGTTTGCTTTAAATCGAGTTTTGCAAGACAAAACACTTGAATCTATTGAGTTTTCACCAGTTAAACGGATCAATGCTATTAGATTTGGAGAGAGAGAGAGAAAAGGAGAAAAAAGGCTTTTTTCCTTTTCTTTCTACGCTTAAAACAAATCGAGTTTGCTTTAATATAAGACAAAACACTTGAATCTATTGAGTTTTCACCAGTTAAACGTATCAATGCTATTAGATTTGGAGAGAGAGAGAGAAAACGCAGGTTTCTTTTCCTTTTCTTTCTACGGTTAAAACAAATCGAGTTTGCTTTAACGCAAGACAAAACACTTGAATCTATTGAGTTTTCACCAGTTAAACGTATCAATGCTATTAGATTTGGAGAGAGAGAGAAAAAGCAGGTTTCTTTTTTCCTTTTCTTTCTACAATGCTATTAGATTTTGGAGAGAGAGAAAAACGAAAAAACAAATCGAGTTTGCTTTTAATGCAAGACAAAACACTTGAATCTATTGAGTTTTCACCAGTTAAACGTATCAATGTTTAGATTTGGAGAGAGAGAAAGAAAAAAGGTTTCTTTTCTTTTCTTTTCTACGGTTAAAACAAATCGAGTTTGCTTTAATGCAAGACAAAACACTTGAATCTATTGAGTTTTCACCAGTTAAACGTATCAATGCTATTTGGAGAGATTTGGGAGAGAGAGAGAGAGAGAGAGAGAGAGAGAGAGAGAGAGAGAGAGAGAAACGAGAAGATTTGAGAGAGAGAGAGAAGGCAGGTTTCTTTTCCTTTTCTTTCTACGGTTAAAACAAATCGAGTTTACTTTAACGCAAGACAAAACACTTGAATCTATTGAGTTTTCACCAGTTAAACGTATCAATGCTATTAGATTTGGGGAGAGAGAGAGAAAAGGCAGGTTTCTTTTCCTTTTCTTTCTACGGTTAAAACAGATGGAGTTTGCTTTAACGCAAGACAAAACACTTGAATCTATTGAATTTTCATATGAAAAGAAAAATGAACGTGTGTGAGAGTGGATAGCTGTGTGCGCAAGCACGATCTGTTAAAAAGTGAACCTGTAGTCTTAAAAATTAACGGTAGAAATACCTACTCCCTTAGAAAAACAGAATGGCTATAATGGCTGATCTAATACAATTTCTGATCCAATAATAATGGCTAAAAGTTAAAATGTAAGATGCCTTTAAGTCGTGATGGGGTTCACGTAAGATAAAATTTGTTCACATTTTCAAGGGAAGTGGTGGGATAATTTTTGAAAAGGAGAAAAACTAGCATTCCATGGTGATGGGCCTCCCAATGACTGATTTCAAACCGTTTCCTTCGAAACAGTGACTTGAACATATATAAAGCGATCTCAGAAGGTCCTACTCACAAAAGAGTTGTAATAAATATCCGTATTACATTCGGTTCACGCGCGTTGTTTAAATACGCTAAACTTTTGTGTAGTACCTCGTATAGTTGATAGGTAGAGCAGAAATTCGTTTCGACTGGAATTATACTTCGCGCCTTTTCGCAATTTCATTTGTGAAAATATTTTTTCTGTGGATTTTTCGTGAATTTGACTAATCCATACAAACACAAAATAAAAAAAATAAAAACATTAGAAATTATTACAGTGATTTTAAATGTTAAATTTTCTTTAATAGATGAATTATGCTACATGTTTGATTATACAGGACCTGAATAGCAACGGCGAAAAAGTTTTTTTATTACATTTAAATCAGTACATCCCGCCTTTATTTTTTAAAGTTAAAAAAATGACAATATAAAAGTGAACTAAGTCTGTAACGCATCTATCTCTGATAGTATGTAGTTTTATGCTTTATTACTGGCCTATGCTAATTTACACCAGGGAATAACGTATATTTTGCAAATGTAACTGTAAAATTGATATTCCAGTTATTGATAACTTTTTACGCTTATTTATTGAAAAAAGCTTGATTGCGGTGTCTCGATGAGTAAATTATTTTATATGTATTTTTGGCAAACTTTAACCTTCGTGTCCGCAAAAAAAAAAAAAAAATGGTATGTCAAAAGGACATTACTTTTCTTGATACCGTTATTATTTTGTGTACTACCTTCACTCCCTTGTCAATGTTTATTTGCAAGTTTATAAAAATATGTGAACCCAGTACAATGTGATATTTATTATTTACCATTTTATAAAGAAATAAATTTGAAAAGAACTCTTTGTATTCAATTTTTTTTTAAATTATCAAAATATGTAAGACCTCTAAATGCAATATTTATTATTTACATTTTATAATTAACTGTGAAAACAAGTTTTTTATTCATAATTTTATAAAAATATCAATGAATTATAAAACAAATATTTATTTCTTTATAAATTGATAACTGATAAAGATTGAATTGTATTTTAGTTGATTCGCATTTTTAGAGTTCGCATTTTTAGAATGTTGTAAATATAAAATTATTCTTGTAAACAAACAATCTAATAAATAGTATTTAATATTTTGTTGTAAATTCTCAAAAGAACTAATAAATTCACTTTTATATATTTGGGATTTATTAAAATTCTAATCATCGCTTTTTAAAACCGCAAACACTGTCGAGGGAGTGAAGCTAGTTAAAATAACAGCGGTGTCATGGGAAAAACCCTCCTTTTGACATACCGTTTTATTGCAGCACCAAGGTTAAAGATTGCCATATTTGTAATATTAAATTTAACCCAATACGAGGCTCGAGAACCACTCAAGGTAGAAGGTTACCGTTCAAATGTTTATGGTGAATTAGATGTGTGATAGGAATGAAAAAAGGAAGTGATAGGAAATTAAAATGAGGAGGATTATGATGATACTGATAGTTGACTTGAAGAGCTCAAGATTGTAGTATTCAGGGAAGTATCCACGCGGGAGTCTGTTATTAAAGGTAGCAATTTTTGAGACAACGCTTTTTGGGTGGAACTTTCTGTCTACACTTAGAATGCAGAGAAAATAACGGTGATTCGATTTTGTAGAAGTATCATGGCGTGTAAAGGTTTGAACTAAAGAATAGAGAGAGCTCATCTGAAAATTTATCATGGAAATAGTGATAGAGTAGCGACCTGCTTACGGCGTTTCGCATGTGGTAAATAAGCTGCGAAAAGACTGCGTAAACAGTTTTGAACTCTATCACGACAGTGTCGACTGCAGTGATTCTCAACCGCCGTGTGCCGTGCGATCCACTTAAGTGTACCGCGATTGGATTCGACTTCAGTTATGTAAATAAGAAGAACTGGCCACCATTTCTAGTGATCCGGGGCTCAAAATAAAACATTCGACTGTACCTATTGATACATTTTTTATTTCAATACAAAAGGAATATCCCACATAAGCTAAAAAGGATTTATCAGTTTTATTACAATTTTCTATTTCTTGTTTATGTGAATTAGGCTTCTCAACCCTAAATAACATCAAAAATAAGAAGCGAGAAAGACAACGTTTAACTGAAGAAGAAATGAGGCTGGCTTATCGCACACTCGACCAAACATTGAAGAAATCGCAAAAAAACAAAAACAAAAAAAAAACAGGCACAGGTTTCACATTAAATAAACGGCACAAATAGTTGAATAGAAACAATGAAATAAACTAAGTTCATATTTGTGTGAGCATTTTTTAAGTCTATGGTTTTATTTCATAACATTACATGTATGCCATTTAAAAATTTTGTTAAGTGTGCCGTGAAATTTTCATTTGCTCCTAAGTGTGCCGTTGCTTAAAATGGTTGAGTAACACTGGTTTACTGTATAGCAAACGGTTCAGTTTTGAAGTTTTGGAACCATTTTCTGTGACTGATGAAAAGTAAGATAACAAGATTTCTTTTGCAAAAAAGGTTATTATTTTCAACAGGAATTTGGAATGAGCCTGTCATCTTTGTCAAAAACACTGTTCATTGTTTCACATATATTTGATACAAAGCTTGCTTCAAGAAAAAATACTTTATATATTTCTTTATTTGCATTAAATTTTTTTCAGATATTTGCTATTTTTAAAAGTAAATAAAAGTAGATAGGTTCGCCTATCGACCGGTTTACACTACTCCTCGTTTTTATCTATTTATTTATTTTTTTAACAAGAGTAGAGGTTTATCCTTTGTTTCCTGTTTAGGATTAGTTTTCCGGTTTCTTCTAAAGTCTGCTTCAGCTCTGTGCTTCTAACGCTTGTCTTTTCTTACGCTAATATATGTCCACACAGTAACCTTCTACCTTGAGTGGCTCTTGGGTCTTGTATTAGGTGAACATTAGTAAAAAAAATTGAAGTCAGTATTTTCCTTGCTGTTGCTCCAATACACTCCGTCTGAAGTTATTAAGCAAATCACATAAACTTCAATAATTAAAATTTGGTTTGAAAAAAAATTTCTAAATTTTAAATAATCAATTTAGATGTCCAAACAAAGCTTAAATTAAAATTTTAGGTAGTATGAATATGTTTTATTGGAGTTATTGAAGTTATTTGATGTGTTCTAAATATACCATCTGAAGTTATTAGGCAAAATCAAATGACCATATAATAAAATCATCAAAAACTGATCAACACCTATAATAGAACAAATAACAAACACATGATAAGTCTTTGAATCCTTTACATTTTAATATAGTGACCTTTCTTCTCAATAACAGCCAGTTGATATTTTTTTTTAACTTCAGCAGGTTCAATTTCCGACAAAGTAGTTTTAATTGCTTCCCATGGGACTGCTTTGCTGTCACCTTCGTATAATTTCATTTTGACAAATGACCACAGATTATCGATCAAGGTTCAGATTAGAAATTGATGGTGGCTTTTCCATTATCTTCTCTGCTGTAAATCTTTCATTCTCAAATAATTCACATGTAAGCTTAGATACATGAGAAGGAGCATTGTCATGCATAAATACACACTTCACTTTGAAACTGTAAGACTGGGACTTGTACCATGCAAAGAAAAGTCTTGTTCATAAAATTGAAATTGTTAGCACTATTCAGTTTAACTCCTTCGACTTTGAATGGACCAATAATGATTTGGTAGACAATTCCAGCACATTTCACCTCCCGGTGGCCTTCTTTTAGCCACAGGCACATTTGAATTGGATAAAATCCATCCTTTGGCCCATTCATCAAGTCCATCAAATGTCACTCGAGATTCGTCAATGAAAATTACTTTAGAAAAGTCACCTTTCATGTATTTTTGGATCAATTTTGATGTTTTAAAATATTTGCTTTAGTGGGAGGAGGTTGCCTCGGAGATTTTTTTACAGAACCCAATTCACAAAGTATTCTACACCTTTTGTCCTTCTTGACTCGTTTAATTCCAGCCTCTTCGAAGATATGAGCGCTGGGCAAAAGTGATTGTTTTGCTATAACTCGCTTTAGTTTACATTCATCTCAAAGAAGCAAGTTCTTAAAACCTTTTCTTTTGCTTCGAGTTCTCAACTTACTTATATTTTCAACAGCCTTCTTTATCGTTGGATAATTTCTGCAAAACTCCTTTGATTTTTCCAATGTGAACATTCCGTCATTCAATAACTTCGTTATTTTCTGTTTTTTAGTAGTTGTTAGATCCTTTCCTTTACCCATGTTTCAACATATATTATAGACAAAAAGAAAAAAAAATATTAGTTTAATCGGCATAATAACTTCATTTTGTACATTTTCGTAAATTTCAAATATCTCAAAAACTAATCATTAAAATAGATGAAAATTTAGTTAAATATTTTACTAACGGTGGAAATGGATGCGTTTAAATTTGACAAATATTAGTTCAGAACTTTTTGAGTTATTGAGGTTTATTTGATTTGCATAATAACTTCAGACAGACTGTAGATGTTTAGAAGGTTATTCTTTGATAGATATTGCTTAATTTCAACTATCAAATGTAAATCCGGATAGTAGTATAATTCAAATATACATATACATTAACACTAGATTTAGATAATTTTATTTGGTTTTTATTTTATATTCACTTCCAAATATTTCCCAAAATGTTAAACTCAGTGAAACGTTCATCAAAGTAAGAAGTTTTGATGAGCGCTTGTTGGACTAAAATGAAAATGCAATCACGACCAGTTTACCCATACGTAAAAAACTATTTAATGTTACAAACGCGATTCAGAGGCGTTCACAATTATTTGGCATTACCAAAAGATTAAGTTACGAAGAAGAAAAATACAAGCTAAAAAAAGAAAAGAAGAGAAAGCAGCATGAGCGAAGCGCTACGACATTGAAGAGAAATAGTTTCTGTCGGTTGATACACGAATAAAGTAACTGCGCAAACGGAGAGGATTGAATTATTTCTGCGACGCCTGATAACTGATCTGTTCAAGGTAGAGGATTGTATACAGGTTTTACAACTGATTTTCTTACCCCTGTTTGAGATTTATCACTTTTTTATTGTCGAAAAGAGAAGCTTAAATATCGGTTTCACAGAAGAGAAAAGAATATTATTATTATTGGGGGAGGAGGCAGATGAATTAATAAAAGTCAAGTGATAAGAATGTTATGCTTTTCCAAGAAAGAGAAAGTAGAATAAGTGTGCAAATCAAGCGCGT